TCAGTATTCATGATTTCAGATGTAGTTTCCACATTAAGTATATTTTCATTTTGATTTATTTCATTCAATGTAAAACAATTTTCTTCAATCACTGAAAAAAAATAAGAAACAAATTTAAAAAAATGAATATAAAACACTTGATTTGTACTTTGTGGTTTATTTTTTTTAATAGTAATATAAATATGAAAATTAAAAATAATGAAGTAAAAACAATTAAAGGCTTTTTAACATACAATTTGAAATATTTGTTTCATTGCATGATTTCATCTCAGTATTCATGATTTCAGATGTAGTTTCCACATTAAGTATATTTTCATTTCGATTTTTTTCATTCAATGTAGGACATTTATTTTCTCCATTCACTGAAAAAAATAAGTAACAAATTTAAAAAATTGAGTATAAAATATTTGATTTGTACTTGGTGGTTAATTTTTTTTTTTTTAATAGTGACATTTATATTAAAATTAAAAATAATGAGAAAAAGCAAAAAAAGACAAATCCAAAAAAATAATTACTAGTACTATGTATAAAACTATAATTAAATTTTTTTTTGATAAAGCATTTCAGTATATTTTTACAAATTAATAATTTTTTTTTTTTTTAAATCTTATTTCTACAATGCGCAACATCCAATATTAAACCATAATTGATATTATTATTAGTTTAAATAGTTGCTCATTTGCACAAAGACTTACAGATAGAATTTGACAACTATAATTTGAATACTGTATTTAATTTTTATAATAATGTAAATAAATTAGTTTATATATCACTGCCATTATCACTGAAAGTAAAATAAAAAATAAAATTCTGTATAAAAATGCTTGTTAACTCAAATAAAATTATACACAAACTAAAAACCATTGAGTCTAGCAAACAACTTTTAAACAGGTTTAAAATTTTTGACTCTATGTAACACATTTTTTACAAATTCCCCATGCTTAGGTTAATAACCTTATTGAATTATACTAATAAGAAAAATACACAAAACCTTGTCCTATAAATATTAATTGTGATTGAATAATTATTTTTTTCATTCAAATTAAGTAAAACAATTAATTAATGAATTAAATAGAAAATTTAAGAGTAATAACTCACCAAATCGATGGCTACCAACAATAACATCATCTTTATCAATATAAAGATCTATATCTATAAATTTTCTTCTTTTCTTAAGTCTTTTATGAATTTTTAAACTTTGGCGACCTTTTCCTTTAAATATTATATGATAATAATAACTATAGTAATATAAATCATATAAATGTAGAATCAAATAATAAGCATACCTTTGGTTATGTCACTATTTTCGTTATTAATTTTTTCTTTAATTCTTGATTGAATTGCTACAGATGTTACAGAATTTATTTCAATTTCAGTAGGATTATCATTAGATGAATATGCTAAAACAAAACAAATATTAATAAGTTATAATTCTTTCTCAATAAAAAATAAAGTTATAAATCATATTGAATCAAATTCAATACATTGAATTATAACATGGATAAAGTTCAAAATTAGCAAAAGAAAACAAAACAAACATAATTAAAAACAATTTAATAAATTTAAAATTCTTGATTTTAATATAATAAAACATAAAGTCTTGAAAATGTAATTACCTTGTTGATTGCAGTCTACAATATCCTTTTTGTCAAACAAAATATTAATATCATTGTTGTCGCATTCTCCATTTTCAAACTGTTGCAGCAAAATTGAACTTTTTACTAAATTTTCTCCTATGGGCATGAATAATATTGTAATTGATAAAACATTGATAAAATAACTTTCTTATAGTTTTTCCTAATTTATTATAGTTATTCAATTTTTTATTATCAAACACAAGTATCGATTTAGCTTTTGATGCATTTTTTTGTAATTTCTTATTACCATAGTTTCCTTAGAATTCATAAATAACATTAATGTTAGGATAATTAAAATAAAATAGTACTTGGTCTAAGATAAAAATGAATGTTAACACTATAGTTATTATTTTAACAATTATTTTGAATGCTATAAAAGGTTACCCTCATCAGTTATTAAGAATAAATAAAATAACCATGTAGTACTTATGTATTAAACATTCTATCATTTTAAATTTTCTATATCAGTGAATATTAGATTAATGTTGTAGTTGTTGATTTACTGTATTCTTTGTTCTCAAACACTATCAATAATAAAACATTGACTCATAGAATAGTTATTGTTAATACATTTCATAAACTGTTAATCATACATCAAAATATCAACATATTTCATAGAGAAATAAATAATAAATAAATAAAAATTAACATTCAAACTGACAATTTTCAGACAATTGCTTTTGGAAAATAATGCAAACCAAAAATGTTTTCTTGATTAGTTTGTAATCAATAAATTTATTCAACTTGATTATTAAAAATATGTTGGGTTTTCTATTTCATGAATTTTGCCCTTACATTTTTACATTTAAAATTTGTACTTAATTTTGTATGTTTGAATAACATATTATCTTTTAACTTTTTAAAGTAATTCTTCTATAATGAAATTCATTTTATTTAGATTTTTAATTATGGATTATATGTTTCCACACATAACTTATTTTCCAATAAAGTTTTCTGAATACTTTTTATTTGTAATAATTCTTTTAATACTTGATTTCAATGATTTGTTTTTTATTGTTTAAAATTTTCATAAATAAAACTTTTAAAATCATTAATAAATTAAATATGAAAATTTGAATAAGATACAAAAATAAGATGTTTAATCGAAATTTTTTAAAGACAAAACACCAAAATACCTGCTGTTATGTAGATTATATGACAATTTAACGCATTATCTAGTAATTACAATTGGCCTGGGGAAAAAAAAAGAGAAAAAAACAAATTGGAACTTTAAAATATTAGAATAGTCTTTTTTTTTTTTTTTTGTCATTGAAGTTTGTATTTTCTAACTATCCTTCATATGTATGAAATAATTTAAGTGGAAATAGACTAAAAAGCCATCAAATAACAGTAAAAACATAATAATGATAAATTTTATTTTTTATTAAGATAATTTCTGGAGTATTTATTAATGAGAAGCATTTGAGTACATTTAATAAAAAAATTAGATGATACATGAGTAGTATGAATACCATTAATTAAAAATAAATAAATCAAATTAAAATTGTAATTAATAATGCTTGTATAAAATATGGTATTTAATAAAACAATGTTGTACATTATAACATGATTATAATTTTCAAACCATATTATAAAAATTATTTATATAAAAATAATAATAAATGATAGTGAAATTAATCAAAAATACATTTTAGGTGCAGATACCTATTATGTTTAAATATTTTAAATGCTAGTTAAAAAGAAAATCCATATAATTATACCCAAATACTATTAAAATCAATACATAAATTAAATCTATAATTTTATTGGTCAATTAATTAATCAATAATATAAGTACAGTTTTATATCAATTATAAAAAAAAAAAAAGTTATAAGAAAATATAAAGAAAAGAAAATACAATAAAGAAAATTAAATATTATTTTTACATCATAACTTATCCTCCATCCTAAGTATTACCTGTAGTATCACTTGATCAATTAATTAAATTAGGGCTTAAAACCATTCCTAATTAAGTTGGTAATCAGCTCCAGTAGGAACTGAACATTTTTTAAAACCGGTAACTGATTATCGTTTAATTTTGATATTATGGTAACTGGTAACCATTTCTTTAAGGATATTTCAAAAACTATAAAATCCGTTAATCATTTAAAAGCCAGTGATAAGGTTTTTTGGAAATCGGTTACCAGTTCAAAGTGGTTTTTAAAAACATATTTTTCAATTTTTTAATCATATTTTTAACAGTTTATTTAGGCGATTCGTGGGTTCATAATAAAACTTTTATTATTATAAAATCAAAAACTTAATATGCTTTAATTTGATTGATTTCACTAAATTTCAATATTTATTTTTTCAAACTGCTTTAAAGTTTAAAACATATGATCAAGATAATGATAATCAAAAATCTAAATTGCATAAAAATATTTTATTGTTATAATTTTCTTTTTTATAATGGTAAAAAACTAAAATTAAATATAATAATTTTCTAAGCTGACAATAATATTGATACATTGCCACAGAACTTTTTGGTTACATTGTATATAATACAGTACCCCAAAACCTGGTTGAGTAGATATTAAAACGACAGTATTAAAATATCATAAATATTAAATGAACTAAGCCTCAATTCCACCAACTATTTTGTAATAGGAATCAGCGCTCCACGAAGACGACATTTATGACGGTATTTATAATGTATATAATATAATAATAATAGTTAGACCTATATGTATATATATAATATTCACAACAGATAAGCAATACTCGACGGTCATTAATTCGGGAAAAATATTTAGAAATAGCTGGAAAATTAATTTCAACTATAATAGTATGTAATTATGACACAATTCAAGTATTAATACCATGAAAAAATCGTTAATTATTTTGGTCGGAAATAGGTTTTGGTTATAAAACCGGTTACCGGTTTTAAGCCCTGAATACATTAATTATATTTTTATAAATTACAAACACTTTTAAAAAAACTAGATATCAAAATTAAATAAAATTTCTAGTAATTATATTTTCATAGATGAAAAAATAATTATAAAGTATATTTTTAAACCATAATACATTTAAGTTGATTGCTACAATTAACTTGATACACTATTAGTTGACCAATGACCATCTTTGAACTACAAACATATAAATATACATCCCAGACATTTTATCAAAATTAAAAGTCATTAATAAAATGTAGAAGTACCAAAAAGTCTTAGAGCTCAATTTATGCTAATATTTTAAAAGAAAAATATAAAATTTAAATTGTTTTTGTAAAATCCCTTTTTTAATTTTATAATATTAATTTTAAAGTAGTTAATTAAATAAATACTTATTATGAGTCTAAAGAAGCCCTAGATTATACCTTTGCGAGTTGTTTTATTAGTTCTACTTCGAAGTCTTGAAGATATTTTGTCAGGAGAATTTATCAAACCTTTTTTAGTAAGACTATGATTTGAACTTCTTGATGTTGTGGGACCTTCATGATATTCTTGATCATCTTAAAATTAAAATACATATATATGGATTTATTTTAAACACAATTTAAGAAATTAAAAAGTGCCATATAGTTATTGGAAAAATATATTGAATACCTTTATTTTCTAATTCTTGTATTAGTATTAGTTTTTTTTCAATAAGATTTTTGGATTTTATCTGAAAATAATCAATATTATTAACATTAAAGAAATTAATTAAAAATATAGACAATTATAGATAAAATATAAATATTTTTAAAGTAATATTATTACTTTTTTTTTGGCAGATCCTTTGTTTGCAACAGTATTTTTTGAAGCTGATTTTTTGCCATCTTTTAATTTTTCTATAGTTTGAGATTTCTGTTTCAATAGTATTCTATTGCATTTGTCACCATATATCAAAGTATCTCTTGTCATAGGATAACTCAAACGACAGAGATCTACACGTGGTTGCCTCTGCAATTCCAAGGGTTTTTCAAGTTCATTCTGAAAAAAGGAAATGGTAATTACGATAACATATTATTTAATCACACTATATATATGCAATGAAACATTATTTAGTCATACTATGTACAATAAAACAATATATCTATAATGTTATGATTTGATAATAATGAATAAGAAAATTATAATTATAATAATAATATTTTTTTTTCCAAACAAACAATATTTAACATTTATTAATTATTTAAGATTTAATTTCTATATTAGAAATCTAACAACAGAGAAGTATCAATAAATCAGAGATGATATAAAACCAGATAATAATAAATTGGTCTATTTTAATTTAAGATTAAAAAAATTGATCCATAAAAAAAAAAATTATAATAACAATTAGAAAATCTTTTACTTTTATACATAAAAATAAGTAAGTAAAGTCACTAAGTAACATATTTTTTTTAAATAAAAGGATTAATTATTAAACAATATTAAAAGATAAAAGGAAATAGGGTTGTTTATTTCTATAAAATTATATCTCTGCGTTAGTTAAATAAAATAACTTTAAAAATATTTAACTATTTAATAAAATGTAAAAATAATTCTCTATTTTGTAAAAATCTATCTTTCAACATAAAATCATATGATTTCTCTTTGCCAGTCACAACTATTGATTCACAGCTATAAGACAATTTTTATCAAAAAATCAATGACAAATTAGAAATTTCAGACAATGTATTTATTTAATTTAGAAGTAGGAAATAAATCAAGATCTCTACAATGATGTATTACATTAAAACAATAAAAATTGTTCACTATTATGATATCAAAAACACAAAAACCAAATACTTATGAGATGAAAATAAAGTTTTAACTGTAAAATTGTTTATCTATTAGTCTAAAGTTATATATAGGTTTCACAAAAAAATATAATTTCCAATTAGTACATTTTTAATCTTAAATATCTTATATTTTATTTAATGATGATTTATGAATATATATGTTCTTGGTAATGATATTGACAAAATGCATAGATTTAGTTTTATAAAAATTAATTAATAGGATTAACATTGTCAGTATAATAAATATATATTATTTACTAATTAATTTATTTATTATTATAACTAGTTGATATACAAACAAAAAATTTAAATTGATCAATATTTAAGTCAAATTAGGTTATTGTATTGAATAATTTAATCATATTTAATTAATATATAAATAAATAAAGAAATGCTTAGCTTTATTATATTACATTTGTAATGAACAACCAGTTCAAATTAAAAATTCATTGGGTACAAAGGCAATAATATCACAACTGAATATGAAAAAATAAATAAAGGAATACATTAAGAAAAATTAGTCGTTTTACAAAGAGATTATTTATTTTTTTAATGAGATAGATGATTTAAAGTTCTTATAAGAACTGTAAATAAACTTAAGCTAGTTAAATTGAATTATTTTAACATATTGAACTTATTATACATAAACATAAATATAATTGTAATACATTTTTTACAGGTAAGACAAAAAGAGATTTTAAAATAAGATCTAAAAAACACATTTCTGAAATAAAATTAAAGACTGCTCCCAATTCAAATTTTGTTGAACATATTTTAGAAGAAACTAAAATATACATTTTGATATCAATAAAAACTTAGAAATATTAAATATTCAAAATAACATTTACATTAATTCCATTTTAGAAATTACACATATACAATTAAATAAAGAAAAATAACTTTTATTAATATTTTAAACACACAAATCAAATTTAAAAATAATATATTGTATGAATACATTTTAGATAATAATAAATAATAAAGTAACAAAATTAATTTATTCTTCTTAAATCTATTTCTAATCGGAACTCATTTTAAATAATTTCACTATTAAAATTAATTATTTCTATGTAAAACATATTTTCTCAGTCCTTAAATTCATTTAATTTTTCATATTCAGTCATGAATTTATTGACTTTGTATGTATCTGATGATGATTAATTCAAAATTGATCATACTTTACAAATATAATTTTTTCCAGGCTAAGCATTAATTAATTAATTTATATGTATAAACTGTTTGATTATTTATTAATTTTTTATTTTAATTACATTTTTATTATTTATAATATTTTTTTTATTTGTTTATCTTGTTTATAATTAATCAGCTATAATATGTATAAATTAATTAATTCAAAAATATAAAACTTAACAGAAACTTAACACTAATCTTTAATTATAACACCAAATTAAATTCAATTTTACCAATTTAATTAATTACAATAAAATTATTTTTAAATGTAAGTAAAATAAAATAAATAAATATTAAATATACTAGCCATGTACTTAACAATAACTTTATACTTCTTAATATTAATTTGTTTACTCAAGATTTCTCTCACTTAAAATATTCTATATTCTTTCTTAGCTATACAATTAATAGACTTACGGTCAATTCAAGTTTTTCTTTTTCCATTTTACGTCTTTCTTTTATCTCATGCCTGCAAAAATGAATACCAATAAATGAACAAAGAATTAAATGTATACAATTTAAAAATGTGTTTACCAGAGTTTGAGATTTGACTTTTGAACGCTTTTATTGTTTTCTTTAGTGCAGGACAATAACCTGCTTTCAGCAACACCAGAATCCCAACTATAAATTTCAGTTATTAAACATGAATAATTTTAAAATACATAAATAGGATCTAATATCTATTTAAAAAGTAAAATTACAGATGGATTACCTTCTTGAAAACTTTATATAATGAACCATATAATAACGTTGAAAGTTTGGATACCGCACCACTTTTTGCAATATTCTAGCCTTATAATACCTTCCCATCCAGAGACACCATACAATTTGTCCTAAAAAATAAAACAATTTATGTCAAAAATGTAATAAAGTAAAATTGTAGTTAAAAAAAATATCCCAATAGATTAACAATGACTATCACCAAATGTATTATTATTTATAAAACATGAGTAAAAGTATATAGATTTCTAAATTAGTTTGTAAGTTCAAAGATTTAAAGTAAACATCAAACTTTCAAAATGTTTAATACAGGTATTGACAATATCTTTATATTATTATTCCTTAATAAATACTATTAGATTACATATTGTTACATTTCAAATTTGATTTTCAATACTGGTTAACGTCCTATCCAATAACTTGCAGCAAAACATATACATTAAAACTAAATTGCAGGTAAAATAAAGTTAGCCTGAGGATTTTTCACTCTCATATTTAATTCTTACTCTTTCGGAAGACTTTAAATCTTATGTTTGAAACATCTATTATAAGAATTTGATACTGATAATTAGGTACAATGATGATAAATGAGTCATAATAAAATTATATTTCAACAAATCGTTCATAATCCAAGTACTACTTTACCGTAAAAAAAATACTGAAAAAGCAACACATGTTTACTTTCTATTATATACGATTTTTATTAAAGTACCGTAAATGGAGCAGATGAACAACACATATAGAAAAAAACGTTATTAACGAGCAATGGCGGCACGACCAGTACAGCTCTAGTGGTATGACTGGTTATCTGATTGAAGAATGGTATGAGAAAAAGTTGTCAAAATGTAACTCGAAAAACCAAATAAATTATAAAAAAAAAAAAAACCAAATGAAAAAGAAAACAAAAAACACCATAAACAGGTTATCTAGAGTTATTTATTCTGAACGCACACGAGAAACTACACCACCACCTCGGCGGAATACAAAAGCGGTCCGAGCTCATGGAAAACACGGTGAAAACGACAATATTACAATAGGAAGACTGCGCGCGTGCCTACTGCATGATCTCGGAACGTTGCGACACGGAGTGGGCGGCGCGAGCCGGGAACCGAACAAAGAAGTGCTGCCGCAATGGCACGCCCGAATCGCGCGAAACGCTAAGTGGAGACAGCTGGAACGACACGATTCGGTCCAACATGAGACGCGATGCGCGACGACCGTTTTAGGGGAGGGCACGACGACGACGGAAAACGGTCGCCTACAACAGGAACGACTAACAGCGGCAAGCGCAGACGCTATTTAACGCGTCGTCGGCAGCGGCGGCGGCGGCGGCGAACATCGGTGAAGACTTACGAACCAATGAAACATAATATAAAAAAATCAATGCTACTTACCAACGGAGAACTTGTCACCGCCATTCGACGTGCGATAGGAGCTGGACGTCGGAGCCATCTGAGGTGGGTCGGCGGGCGCACGGGCGCACGGGACGAAATTGTGATGACGCCGGCAACGGTTCGACCGGACAGAGCGGGAAACGAGTGAGTTTCCGCCGTCGCACTATGCGTCCCCGGCTAGGGAGTAACAGCAGCAGCAGCAGCTGTTAGCGGCGTGTATGACGACAACGGCAGCGGAACCTCAACAACGTTTACGCGACGAAGACCATAACGAAGCGTTAGCGGGCAGATGCGCGTCAACGGTAAAACGACATGAAACGGCAGGCGACAAATGACCCGAATACGCGTCTAAAAACCCTGTGTTCCGCTTATCGGTCTCCGTTCGGCGAACGCTCGCACTCGTACGTTTTTGCGCGCGCGCTATCTACGGCGCCCCGCGTACAATTGCCTCCACCGCGACGCGTACAGTGTGTGTATGTGTGTGTGCATGTGTCTGTGTGTGTGCGCGCGCGCGCGTGTGTGTGTGTGTGTGTGTTTATCAGCCGTGCACTGCGCCTCCATGGGACGAATGCCGTGCGCGCGGCTACGAATACCGGGAATGCCCGAGAAATAATCGTTGCAACGACGAACCGTTGGTAATATATTGAACGCGCTCAATATATGGTCCCGATGGATAGGAGGTGTGGGAGGGCTCGTGTTTCTGTGAAATAACTTTTTGAAACACAAAAACGATTCGGTCCTGTTCCCGTTTATAATTTAGATACTATTTTTCGCGTGCCATCTAAGCGAATCGATTTATACACAGCCATCGGCGAGAATACCATTATTCGTTGTTCAAAATGTTCATCGAAAATATTGTTGGTTGAAAAACCAATGAGATGAAAAAAGGTTCCGCGATAACTACTATAGCAAAGTCGTTTGAAGTAAAACAATTATAGGTACATGGGAACACTTTTAGTGACTCGGTAAATGGTTATTGCAGTGATTAGATCTTTTATTATAATCAGTGGTGTTCCTATAAGGTTTAATACGTATACGTCGTAAGCTCTCAACATTATTTTAAAAATGCACGGGTATACTACGTATACTTTCAAGTCTCAAGCAGAAGTATTAAATATAATTAGCAGAGCTAGGATTTTTTATACAATAAAAAATTATAAAATATGGATTTTATTTACCAAAATATGCAAAAATATGCATTTAAATTTTTATAAAAGAACACAAAAATATAGTTACAAAAAAATATTTATTTATTGAAATACATCAGTGGTTGGCTGTCTTAATATATTATAATCGAAAAATAAAATAAAATTTATGTCTGATAAAAAAACCAAGTTTTATACTTTAAACAGCAGGACTAGAGTTTAATACGAAATTAAATTATAAATATTAATTAAGAAATATACTATAAAACATTCATTTTTTACATTATTATAATCAAAATATGCAATAATATTAATTTTATTCGATATATGCAATAATATGCATTCTATCCAAAATATACAAAAATATGCAAAATAAACATTTATCTCATCATGAGGTGATTCGTAGACATTATTGACAAAATCAATAATCAGAAGTCACAATAATAAACATGCTGTTGCATACAAATTCTAGCCCTGGTAATAAGTTTTACAGGTTTTAATTTTGTCCTTATCTTTTAATAGACATTAAGTTTTAAGACGATAAGACGATAAGTGTATTTACTATGAGGTAATTATTGACGGTATACTATCTATTTGCGACGGTATCAATTTATTTAAATAATTTTAATTTCTATTTCTGTAAAAAAAAAAATGTTAAAATTTCAATTGTTTGTTAGTATTTACAGCCCTTTCCACCGTATAAATCAGTGGTCTTCAACCTTTTCGACTCGTGACCCACTTTTCTAACACCATACATTTTTCGCGACCCTTATAAACTTCGTCAGCCATGAAAACAAAAAAAAAAAAAAAAAAGGTAAGACTGCTTTATGTATTTAATGTATGTTATAGTAGAAGTGCTTATATATCACAAATCAGTGATGTGAATTATTCAAATGTTCAAATATTCAAATATTTGAACCATTTACGGTGGGCCTATTCGAATTCGAATATTCATATATTCGAATAATTCAATTATTCTAATATACATTACATCTCTATGACAAATATATCGCCCAGGAGTAGATTTTGGAATGCCGCCCTTTACAAATGTATTGTATTGTTTTTCCCATCATAAAATTTTATATAAATAATAACAGCATTGTTTAATTTATCAATATTTATAAACATATCGTAATCTCGGTAGTTTTAATATAATTTAACTATTAGTATTTAGTATAAAAATTTAACATATATACAGCATCTATACGAGACTCAAAAAATGAATAGGTGATAATATAATAATAATAAAAAAAAAGGTTGGTAATGTAAAAATTAATCATTTAAAACTATTAATGACAAATTCAATAAACTGATTATAATTATAAATACAAATTATAATATGGCCATATTGGCATACAACAAACACAATTATGTGTCAGTGCTATAGACATATTGTAAAAAATGTATACTCAAAAATAATTTGATGATACGAATAAAAATTGAAAATTCTGAATGCTATAATATGGTCATACTAATAACACACTGAACGCTCACCCTCCTGATAATTTTTCGATAGGCGATAATTTATTATATTACTATTATTATTTGTTTTACACAGTTTTTAATGATAAATAATTCTTCCAAAAAATCATAATACATTGGAAGACTTTACATCTTTCATTTTCCTCGGTTAGAAATTGCCACAGGAGTCAACTAGGACCTAATAGATTTATGCGTTGTAACAATATTGATATCTAATGATTATATACCTAATATATAAAATTTAATTATTTATATTGAATAGGTAATTAAATTAAGTAGGAACTATATTAATATCAACGTAAAATAATTATTTTCATAATATTATGGTATAGACGCAACGTTTCCCGACACCATTATAGCCTATTCTAATCAAATCGAGGTAAAATTAGAAGTTCACGTTTTTTTTTTTTTTTTATTTCGGCGTTCGTCGGCAAAATCGCAAATAGGTCGGTGTTTTTCGTTGAGGATGAAAATGCGACGGATTACAGCCATTGTGTATAGTAACTCCAACAGAAATCAATAAATTTTGACGAACACGAAAAACGAGGTGTATGAAAGGCGAAGGAAAACGTCGAGTTCATATAAGCCCAGCCCGAACATCTAAGTTAATTTTGGTAATGCTGTCGATCGTCATGAAAATAGCATTGGTAATTTAATATGACATTGTTGGTGAAAAAATTAATATTTATATATATATATATATATATAAATATATCTTCGTTATCGCCTAATAATTTGATTCACTAGAAATCGTCGGTATCTACCAAATATCATAAGGTACAAATAACTAGACATTTCTCTTTATCCGTGGCTATACTATATATAATACCTATATGTGTACACAATATATTAATAAAAGTTTTGTCAATTATATTACTATATAGATTGTAATAGTTATGTATATTTTACGTACAATACAGACATTTGAAATCCGCACCTATTATTATATGTAGTGACGTTTATCACTACGAAGAAAAATGTCTGTGGAAGAAGAATCCCATTAAAATATGAATTGTGCATTCAAATGTCTATCATACAATTTAAAAACCATGTCAAAATTATCTATATATGTCAACCATTATCTGTTCTGATTACTTGCGTCTAAATAGGTTATTTCTTATAATTATCTTGTTTTTCAAACGCATATAAAGTATAAAATAAATAATAGGTAATACTACCTAATATTAGAGGTGATTTTTATTTAGTCTCCGTCTACGCAATAAAGATGAAATCATAAATCACGTCCACATTAGGGAAAATAAAATAATTTAATTTTACATTATAATAGCAGCTTGTTTTTCGGCTGAATATTTATAAATTAATTTTCTACTTTAAATATTCGCTGTCAACAGTGCCGGATTAAGGGACGATGCCGCCGTGGAGTAAACAATGATTGCCACCTCCACCTCAAAGAAATAAAATTTTAGTGAAACAAAAAAAAAAAAAAATTCATTGTTTCTATGTATAAATTAAAAAAATAAAATACTATTATAAAATATACGTTAGATACAATAATTAATCAACATAAACCAGTGGCGTACCCAAGATTCATTTAACGTGGGTATTTTAAAATTTAATAGATTTATGGTAAGTGGGGGGGGGGGCTATCCCCCTTCCCGTATTACATTAATGAATACCATATTTATGTAAATTATTATATAAATGAAAACGATTATATTAAGACAGTATATGTAAAATCTACAAGTTGTATACAACGTTTCTTCAAATCACGCTGTAAGTTTGCAATCTGGTGAAATACCATAAAATACAATCGAGGGGAGGGTGTTCTAACACCCATATTACCACCCTAAATACGCCTCTGACTTAAACTTAAAAGTATAAATATGCTTAATGTCACAGAATAGTTTTGCAAAGAATTTTTTTAAACTAATGGAAAATATTGAGAAAATACAATTATAATATTAATAAATTAGTTCCAAATATACAGATAATAATTAAAGTAATTTTTAATATTAACACCAATTAAAAAAAACTTATAACTATATAACTATGTATATATTATATATTATTACTTTTTTTTAAAATATTATTTATTTTTCTTTAATTATATTTTTTTATGGATTTATTAGTTAACAAGTTTTTATGTTAGTTCTTCTCACTTCATTTCCTCAACTAAATCAGATTCTGTACATAAAATTGATAAATTGGACATTTTTTCTTGTATTTAGGATGATCTTAAATAATTTTTTTGAGGCTATTTTATTTATGCCGCCCTGGAGCAAATGCTCCTTTTGCTCCTAGGTTAATCCGACCCTGGCTGTCAATGGAAAATTACTTTAAGGTAGATACTACGTAGATTAATGAATTGAAATTAAATTCATCAAGTGATTAACATAATTTTTATCATCATGTCACTGCTAATGATATCACTAGTCACAGATATCTATATTATACTAGATAAGGTACTCGGGACGTTGCACATAGGAAAAAGTGAAGCCAGATTTCAAGCGCTTATCAGTGTATTATCATATGGGCGCCATATTGCTGGTTGGCAAAACATTCGATTACTCTATAGGAATTAGCTTAATAACTACAGAAATTCGTTACTTTTTTACATAATTTATAACTTATATCTTCAAAAGTTGGGTCTGTTGTGTATACACTATGGATGTTAGTATGGTACTAAGTATTTGATGGCATTTTTATTAAGATTAAGTATGTATGAAATAGCAAAAACTCATTTTGTATATAGTTATTTATTAATATAATGTTTACATAAATTCATGTCATAATACAGTATAATATAACATACATATAATGTTATTGATGGTTAAATAATATTAATTTGGTCAATAAGCGACGTTTACTAACGTCTGCACTTGTTTTCAACTTGGCCACATAATGAAGACGAACTTTCAGATATTGCTTGCAAATTAAAGTTACCAAATTCAACTTGTGATTTTCTAAAAAAACCGTCATTTACACAATTTAAGCAATTAAAAATACTATAATTATATACATGATTTTTAACGGCAAGAATAACTTTTTGACTTAAGCCTGGTAATAATGAACAAAAATTTGATGTTAATTGAATTAATGTACTTTCAATAAATTTAACAATTACAACCACATCCTTTGAACTTTTTATTAATCCTCCTCTATTTTTAACATCTACTAATATTGAATGAGGATATTTATGACTATAATTATGTTCAGATTCATTTTCAATTATACTATAGGCACAAGTTTGACAGTCAATTTTTTTATAAACACTTCTAACGATAAATCCACAAATATAATATAAAATATTATCTTTTACCAAATCAAAACTATCAATATAAGGCAGAAGATTTGATATATTTTCATCTTCAACTTCTTCGATAACATTGTCTACTAATGTTTTTTTTGCCCAGCGTATTTCAAAAACACTTTCAGAACCTGTGTTATCTAGTGCAATACAATTAGCAGCATACGAAGAAGAAATTGAATTTTTTAAAAGTATTTGTTTCAATGCTGTTCTAAGTTCTAAAGCATTTGGATTATTATTGTTCCCAAAACGCTGCCTTATTTTTGAGAAAAAACATTTCTAGGTGGTCCTGGGAAAACTTGTATGTTAACATGTATTTATATTCAGCAGTATAAAACAATTCATCTGCTATGCTAAATATTGATTTCACTGCAGTTGCCAACCCTAAAGGAGAAATTTAATCGACGTGTCAGATTTGTCAAAACAAATTTAATAGGTTTACATTTTAATCAAATTTATACTTACCAAGAATAAATGTTTTACGTGGAGTTAAATAAAGGAACTTTCCTTCGATATTTGTAAGTTTTAATAAATACTCTATTTGAGGTATAATTATACATCTCATTCTATCAACATCATTTCTGTACAGAGGTTTTTTAAAACCTTTTCCAAATGGATTGCGACTATTTAAAAAATCAAATATGCTGTCAATTACTCTAATAAATGTTTCAGTTGGTTCACCTGAAATCCAACAAAAAATATTTAATTTCAAATTGTATTATTTATTTATAGAACTTAAACTCAACTGTCTTTAAATGTAGGTTCATTTATATGTCTAAAAAATTCAAGAGCATCAGCTGTTGATGAGGATAAAGTTTGCGCTGCGAGTTTCACCTTCATGATATTTTTCTTCCAATCAATATGGGTATTTGATAGTTTATTTGCAATATTTAATCCTATATTTTGCTGAACTGAAATTAAATAAAAAATATTTAATGTAAATGTTATTAATATAATATAATTTATACCTGTATTTAAATGCTTAATGTATGACCAACTAATAACATTGTCATTGTATTTAAATTGTTGATAAGTAGCTAGTGCATTGCGAGCAAGTTTGATATTATGACAAGCATCGGGCACATAATATATCTATGTATTCATTTAAAAAAATGTATTAATATTCATGTTAAATTAAGTTCAACAAATTAATTGTTGTATACATTATTACCTTCCAATCGATCCCAGGTATACTAATTGATTCATGTATTTCATCATAAGTACCACTTTGTTTGTACCCTAAGTGTGTCATAGTTGACAAGTTGGTTGTAGTTCCATCACAAGTGACACCCCAAACTCTAGCTCCTATTTCTTTAGCCATTTGAATTGCAGTTGTAATAAGTCCAGCTTGTATTATAGCTGTACTTTTAGCCTGCAAAAAGTATCCTATTGGCCATTTCCATTTTCCATTAAGTCCAACCAACATAAAAAATAATGCTTCAATTGCAGGGGTCTCTTGAGTTTCGACTTGTATGCCGCCAAAATCACAATACCCTACAAATTTATCTTCTTTTCCGTCATATACAATTTTTTTTCTTATTGACATGCTATCAAATACTAGGTTGCAATCTTTCTCACTAGCTGGAATTAGTTTAATACTCTTAAAAACTTCTTTGAAAAAACCAGGTTTCGCATTAACAGTTGAGGTCCAATTAGCAATTGAAGATGGATTAGGAAGAGTTAGAATAGTACTAAAAAATTATACATAAATAATTATAATAAAACCATAATTGTATGCTTCTGGGAGATTATAGATATAGAAGTTATTAAAGATTAATAACAAGTACAGTGGTTGCCATTTATAGTATTCACTGGATATAAGAATCAGCTGCTTACAGTAATCAAAATACTCTCGGACAAATGTGATCACTATAAGCGTCGGCCACTGTATATTTTAATAAAATAAAAGTAGTCATTCAAATTACTAGAAAAGCATTAATTACCGGCAGAAGTTATAAGCTTTTGGTGAATAGTAATGTAAGGTTAAGGCAAACTCTTTCATTTCTTTTGTATAGCGACAACCTGTACCTTTTTTACTGTTTTTTAATTCATTTTTAAATAGGCTCAATATAGTGCCTAATAAGAAAGCATAAGATATAAGCCATTCATTAATATTAAATGTGCAAATGCCTGCAAATAAGTGCTTAGAAGCAGAAAAAGCAAGCAAGTTGTATATTTTATTTTACAAAATAACAAATTTTTAAATATTAATATTTACCGCTGAAACTATTTTCTATTATATTTACTGGTTCACCATCGATTAAGCCTCTACTTTTCAAATCGTTTAATAATTCTTGCAGGTTATATAATTTTTTATCTTTTCTTCTTAACTTTTGCTGTAAAGTTCTTATTTTTTTTTTTTCAATAAAAGTTCACTGGTATAACTATTAACTGTTTGAACTTCCTTATTATTAGTAGTAGGAACTATTTTATCAAAGGTTTCAACTTTATCATCTTCTAATTGAATGTCATCAGAAGTTCCAATTTTATCATCAATTAATGGAATGTCATATTCTGCTAGATTTGAATTAAATATATTTTTTAATTGTCATTAGATATAAATTAAATTAAGTTTTCATTTGTGTAGTTTAATTTAATTTCATAAGTACCTGCTGCATTTAAATTTGAATTTTCAATTTGAATGAGATTTCTTACAAGCGGTTCTTTTCTTGGAATTTTGGACGCCTTTTGGTAGTAAGAAGGAAATGCAGAGAACACTGTTGGCACAGCATCTTCTTTTAAAAATATGTTTTTATTATTACCCAGTTTTACTTGATAATTGTCATTAACAAAATGATCACTACATAAACGGCTCCATTTCGTTGGTGTAAACTTCTTTCTTTTAATAGCTGCAATCCATTTTTTATTTAGATCAACATTGGCTAAAGGAAATCTATAATATTCAAAATATCTGTATTAAAATAACCTAACCTTAGCTATGTATACCTACGTGTAAACTATATTAATAATAATAATAGATAACTAATCATAGATAAACTTACCGAAAAAAAATGAATATTCTGACCAATTTTATATCTATTTGTACATCCATACGCAACACATGACACTGGCATGATTATATTTAAAATATGAAGCACAATAAGTAAAATAATATAATCATTATTGTCAAAATAATGTCAAATAAATAAATTCACACACTCATAAAACCATAATATTATAGGTGTAAATGTGTAATCGTAATGGTAATTCAAATTGTTTTGCCAACCACGAAATTTGTGATAACGGATCTGTGGGATTCATACGATAACGCGAGTACCTTATCTAGTTTAATATAGATATCTGTGTCACTAGTCAACTTATTGTGATAACTGTCGGCATTATATTGATACTACTTATCTTATGGCGTTTAACTCGTACTTTTTTTAATCTACTGATTCACCTTAGCAAGTATATATATTTTATTTATTTTGATTACGTTCTATAACAGAGCAATTATTTTTAATAATGTATAAGAGTTTATTTTTCAAAATAAATGATCTATGCCGTGTAGCTCAAAGTAATATAGTACTGAGGAGAAATGCTGGTCATAGTAAATGGTCCAATATTAAGCATACAAAAGGGGCCATGGATCAGCAGAAAGCATTGACATTTGCCAGGTTTAGTCGTCAAATGAAATTAGCTATTAGAGGTAATAAATAATAACAAGACTTGTGTTTGCCTAATTGGTGCTCATTCCTGTTGTATTTTTAATATGCTCAAGTTTATTTATTCATGTTTTAAATAATTAAATTGTAAAATATATTATTTTAACAAATTAAATTTGAAAAACTATAATATTAATTCATAAAATATTGTGGTTTAAATATATTTGGTGTATTGTCTTTTATGATTTTTTTTGCGTTTTAAACATATTTTTTTACATTTTTTATCTATGAGTAATAAAATAATTAAATTTTGAATTCACATATCGCTTAAAATTGGTTTTGTCTATTATATTTTATCATATTAATACTAAAATTGTTGTGATAATCAATTAATTATACTTGAATAGTATTCATAAATCTATCTTATTCTAGAATTATAAATTTTTTATTCAATTTATATAAGTATGAATTATATATTATATTTTAGTAGTATTAAAATTCAATTTTTACAGAGCAAAATGATCCGAATCCTGATACAAATTATAAATTAGCATCAATCATTGAAATGGCAAAAAAGAACAGTATGCCAAAAGATACAATTTTAAATGCTATTAAAATACATGTAAGTGAAATGATTTACTTATAAATAATAAACTATTATTCATTATACATTTTAAAATTTTATGATTAAGTTATCTTATAATATAATTTTCTGTAGTAATTTTTAACGATAAAACATGTTTATTTATGTATATTGCAGAATAATAATCTGATTCAAAACCCCAGGATATTTTATTCTATAAGCTCATTAAAGTATTATAATGACATTTCATAATATTGATTTTTGAAAACTGACATTTTATAGCAAATTATTATAATTTCACTACTTATATAATTCTGAATATTGATGTAATTTATGTTATGGCTTAGTTGTTAGCTCTATGAGATTACTATAAGACTCTAATAGTTGTGTATTGATATACTCATGAATCCTGTAGATACAGTTTATGTTAATTACACCAACAAAAAAAAATTGATTTTTGTTGTTTTTTTAAAATATAATACTTAACATAAAACTTCCAACAATAATATCCTATTTTATGGTATTTATAACTGTTAAGATTATTTTTGATTTTAAATATCTTGCACTATATTGTAATACATTGTTTATTAGTTTATAATAATTAAAATATATTATTTTATTTTATTAAAATGCATGCCTATAGGCATTATGAGCAGTTATTAATTTTACAATAATTTATGTTGATATGATATAATATTAAAGTTAATCTGAATTAATCGGTTTTGCTCTGAACCATTTTATCTAGGACTTAGTTTTTGTCTATTTTTTTTCTTATCTTACATTATTAAAAAGTCTAAACATATTCACATAACATAGGGTATTACTTTTAATTATATAAATACATATATGAGTTACATAGCTTCGCCAATGTGCAGTTTTGATCTAAAATGTAATATTTATTATTATTACAAATTGGAAATTTATTACCTATGTTTATTTATGTTTTTTTTTTTTACTGCTGCAATCACATTTTATTTATTGGAAAACGAAAAATATTTATATTATACGGGACTCATTATCAGAATGACTACATCTTACTTGATTACAAAAACTATTCACTTATTGCTGAGGCTTAAAATGGTATAAATGATAAATTAAACAATTAAAGTCGATTACAGCAATTTGGAAAAATTATAAAATACATTTAAGAACAGGAAACTACAATAATATACCATTACTATTTTATTTTTCAATGCTAAAATTACACATTATATTATTGATTACAAATATTTAAGTTGAACCAAATTTATAATTAAATTTATTTGAGCTCATATTTTTTTAACTTATTTATTGAAAACCTATTGTATTATGTAGTATTTTACAATTGGAGTCAAATGTAAGAGGCAAAAATTAGTTTTAAGATATAATATAACCATACTGTTAACTGTCTAATAATTATTGACTTTATTTAATTGATGTATTTGTTAGTGTTTTTTTTTTTAAAAAATATTTGTTCAATTTTTTTTTAATTTAGTTGTTTAAAACTGGTACCTATGTCTATGATTGTATAAAATTTTAAGTATTTATTGTTTATTTTGCAGTCATCTAGCAAAGCAGAACCAATATGGTTTGAAATCAAAGGACCTAGGGGTTCAATCTTTCTTATCCAAGCTTTAACGGAAAATCCAAGACTTATGAAACAAAATTTAAATACTTTAATTCGGAAATCAGGGTAAGCATTTAATTTAATTAATAATTCTTTTTTATTGCTGATCTATTTCTAAATTAAAAGTACATTATTATAAAATAAATATCATTTTTAACTTTTATATATATAGGAAGCCTACATCTTCTTACAAACATGCAACTTAGCAATAATAGCAATTATCCCTTCAATAAAACTTGTATTATCAACTTTAATATTAGAGTTAACCTATTATCTAACTTAAATAAAAGAATATTAATTGTGTGTTCTTTTTTTTTTCAAAATTTTTATGATATTTTAATTTTTAAACTATCTATGAGTTTTTGTTTAAATTGTTATTTTTACATAATACAAAATGACTTAACAATTAAAATATCATAAAAAGATTTCAAGAAGACAGATAATGTTTTTCCTTTTAAGTTAGGTCAGTCAACTATAATATTAAAGCTAACAATAGAAAAATTGGTTTATTAAATACAGATTTAGTATGTTGTACATTGGTAACACAGACAGAATACATGTTAGTGATGTTAGTGCGGTGTTCTCTTAATGTATATTATGTATATGTAATGTATATGTATAATTTTAGTGTATGTGTATGAAATAAAATAAAAATACTTGTACAGTGAAAAAAAACTTTAAAGTATTAATTGTTTAAAATAATATTTAATTTTATACAGTATATAATGAAGCAAAAATATAATTTTTGTTATTTGTTTATCAAATAGGCTTTTTACCATTAAATTGTGATCTACTTAATAATTTTAGTTTTAAATATTTAATTATTATTCACTGAATTGTAAATGCATTATTTATTAATATTATTATTTTCCACGTTCAATACAAGTGTAACCCTTTAGTGCAACTCAATTATATAGATTTTATAATTTTATTTCTATTTTTCTATGTAAGAAACTGAGCAGTGAAATATTTTACATAATATTGTGAAATATTATATTGATTATTCCTTTTTTTTAAACTATTATGTCTTTTGTTATAATTTTTTCAAACATAATATCCTTTTACATTCTTCTTAGTTTTCTATTTCTTTCATCCAATTCAAATTGTTTTGCATTTAACTAAAATATGTGAAAAATCTTTCTTATTCTTAATAAAATCTCTCTTACAAAGAATTATTCGACCTACAAAATAACTCATAATAGGCAATTTAAATCTGTGCTTAGCTATTATAATGATATAACTCTTTTTAATGTAGATTTAATAAACTTAAAGAACTAATAGTTATTATTTTATATCATTGACTGTAGTAAATATAATCATTTATAATAAATTACTTTATTATTTGATAACTTACATATTTCTACATAAAACCTTTTTGTCATTAGTTTTTCATACTGTGATTCCGGGGCTAAACACTTATTCATTCACAAAGGTATCATTATAGCAAAACCATCTCAAGATATAAAAAATGCTGACGATGAATGTATAGAACATGCTATAAATGCTGGTGCAGAAGAAGTTGAAATTATAGATGATGATTTAAAACCTGGATATTTTAAGGTAGATTTTTTTTATTTTATTATTTATTTGATCTAATATTATAAATAATTCAAATGCTTCTATGGGAGGGGGGGGGCGACTCAAATGTTTTCTTTAATTCAGGCTCAAAATTTACTAGTAAAATTTTTGGTAATATTTAAATCAGGGAATCCTTATTTGTGGTTTTTTTTTTTAATCTAATGCCAGATTCACTTAGAATCGACTTTTGTGTAGTTCTTTTTTAATACCTTTCTATGTTTTGAAAGTTACGTTTATACTTTATTTGATTTTTCACTAAGTATGGACCCGACTAATAGCCCAATTCAGTATTTACAGACACGCGTAATTTGATTTTGTTATAAAATGATCCACATGATAAAAATTTGGAAAGTGTATCTCACATATAATCAATTTCTTAAATACAGATTTGTGTAAGTAGATTTGTTCATAGTGTAATACATTTATTCTCAGATTAAAGTAATATGTTGAACATACCAACACTGAGAAAATAATAATACTGAAAAAATACAAAAAATGATAATTTTTCATTGTAATTTATTAATTAAAACTTGAAGTTTTAAGATGTTATATGAACTGATTATATACATTTTTATATTTTTTTTTATCTAGACACATTTTTCACTTAATAGATTATTTAAAAAAAAATAATTAAAAATAATTTATAATTATATATAAAAATAGTTATAATTACTTGTTATTTATTTGGCATATTATTGATTTTCAATTTTAACACATTCAGAAATTACCTTATAAGTCATCCATAGGAATTTTTAATGTTAAACTCCCTTTTACCATAGTTGTATTTTTTTGATATTTAGTTAAAAAATAATTTAAACTAAAATGTATTTTAATTTAAAGCTTTATAAGGATATATTAATTCATATTTATTTATCGATTATTTCAAAGAAATTATCTAGTTCATTATTAAAAACTACAAGTCCCTCACAACATGGTTTTTTATCTAAATATCCAATCTTCACTAATTATTAGTTTACCAAAATTATATCACTAATGCACTAGATCATGGTTTGTCTATTTCACTTACACGGATTTTCAGAAGACTTTTAATAAAGTTGACCATACTTTACTTTATTATAAACTGAAATTTATGGCATAGAAATGTATTTATTTAATTTTAGCATAGCTGGTTATTTTTTTAAATGGTTATACTCGTACCTCACTAACAAAACTCAAGCCGTGAAAATCTCATTCCATTCATTTAAAAATGTCCTGGTCTCTTCTAGAGTTCCTCAAGGTCACCACTTGGATCCTTTATTGTTTTTGATTGTTATTTATGATTTATCACCTTTTGTTTTGTGAAATTCTGATATTGTTAATATTTTATTATTTACTACTGATTTTGCCAGAATGTTATGCAAGATTAAAACTTTATAATTGATCTTAAATAAATTTATTTTATGAAGTAACAGGAATTATTTACCTCTAAGTATTAAGAATGTAAACTATTATTTTTTATTTGTAAAATTAATCCTATTATAAAACAATATAAAAGAGATGAATATTTCTTGAGAGTTAATTTGGTTAAAGATTTAGGGATTTATTTTTAAAATGACCTTAGCTTTAAAATTAATCATAAAATTATTATGAACAAATCTTATAAGATGTTAGTTTTCTTAAATAAAAATACAAAGGAATTTAGGAATCTTCTATACTTAAAAACCATTTTTAATTCTTTAGTCAGATCTAACCTAGAATTTGCATCACTTATTTGATCTTAAAATTTGTCTACATGTAATACACAACTTGATAATTTTCAAAATAAATTTCTAAAAATGATATTTTATGAATTCAGTTTTCATTTTCTAGAGATTCAATTAATCAATTACAGGAAAAATTGGGTCTTGATTGTCTCTCTTTAAGATGTAATCTGGCTGACTTAATATTTGTTTTTGATATTTTGAATGGGCATGATTTTTGTCCAGAATTATTAGTGATGATTAAAGACCAGATTTCTATTCTCTTAAAATAACTTAAATATGATGTTAATTTTCTCTAAAAAACCTTTAAATATTCTCATTTTACTCTCTTAAAAATGTGTAAAAATATTTGAAATTATGCAAAAATAATCAACAAACATCAATATATGTTTTAATATGCATTTTTACAATTTTTTTTTTTTTTTACAACATTCTTTTAATCGTGAGGTATATATGAAGTTGCGTATTATAATGAAATACTATTGTACTTCATTAAGAGTAGGAATATAGTAAAAATATAACAGTATAGCCTATAGTATTAAAATTTAAAAACAATATTCCTTTGGTATATTTTAATTAAATGTTGTATTAACGCTATAGCCACAATATGAAAAAATAACAATCATACTCGAATATTTTAAAATATAGTAAAACAAAAAAAAATAGTTGACAAAAGGTAATCTTTAAATAATAATTATTTAATACAAAATATAAAATAACAATATATTTATAAACAAAAAAAAAAAAAAAACAATATTTCTTTAGTGCACATAATGATAAATATTTACTTTCTGAAAAATAAAAAAGAAACATGAAATACTATTTAAATTGTATTATATGAATTATCAATAATATATTTGTCCATATTTTCTGTATTCATGTTAGTTTTTCTATCACTTAAAATTTGTTTATAGAGACTAAATGAACGTTCAATATCAACAGATGTTAGAGGTGCAAATTTCATGTCAGCAACTACACTGAGTGTAAAATATTATGGGAGATCTTCATTGTTTCCACATAAAATGTTCCCAACTTTCACTAACATTTGGTAACCTTTATTTATTTGAAATACTTGAGACACTAGTTTTTATTATGTTATCCTTTTCACAAGGTATATTGGTTAGTTTGCAGATAATAATTTGTATAATTCCAACGATAACATCAAAGCCAAATTTTCTAAAATATGCTAAATAAGCTAAATATTCTCTAACCTATGAGATATTCTCAAATATGTGAAAAAAACTTTTTTTTATGAACTCAGAATTGAACGAATCGTCCACATTTTTTACTCTCATAAAACTGCATATACCCAGTAACGATATGTAAAAACATATAAATCCGGTCTTTAGTGATGATAGATTTTGATTTCCTTAGTTATAGACACGCAGTTTAAAATTATTTATTATTCCACATTATAAGACTAATATAGTCTATTCCAAATAAGTCCGGAAAAAATCGCGCATGCAGGTCCGCTGCGATTGGATACGGATTCGGCATACGTCGTAATCAGTCGGCGGTCGGAGCTCGCCATCGTGTATAGTGTTTAAATTAGTGTATACGTGGAGTACTTTATCAACAGGTCGCGTAGGCAAGCGAAGTGATGATGGTTTAGAAAATACAGTTAGGCTGTATTCAACTAAATCGTCGACAACAGCGCTCGCCACCGACAGATCACGTGACATACCTGCGAAAAACCAGACGCGTTTTCGTCGTACATTTTTCCAGATTTATTTGGAATAGACTGTAGTGGAGCAAATTATTTTCTTCTTAGAGTTGTACGATTAGCCACTAAAATTTCCTATCTACTTGATTTTTTTAACTCTACACGGGATAGTTTTAAAACTAATACTTTATTAAATCTAAAAAAAAATCTTATTAGTTAATTTGTCATTTTATTCTTTATTTTTGTCTTATTAATTTAAATTGTTAAAATGTGATCGTACTTTGTATAATTATTATTATTATTCTAATATGCATATTGGTCGTTGTCTTAAATTATTCTTATATTTTGTAAAGGGCTAAGGCCCGTTGAATACACAATAAATAAATAATACAATATTCTCAGTGAAAGAAAATAGAAAAACAAATAAATATGAAATTGTTTTTTTCAGTGAAATATAAAAATATTAAAAAAATAAGTTATTTGTCATAATTGATATTTAGTTAATTAAATAAAAAAATCCATTTACCAAAGGCAACTTAGGCATACATTTTTATTGTGAGTCTCCATTAAAAATATTACAAAAAGTAGAAAAAGTTAAAGATAATCATTAAACTACTCATTAAATAGGAACTTTCTGATCACTGTACTACACAATATATGAGTTGAAAACGAAAAGCGTTTAATAATAATTAATTATAAAATAAATATTATTCATAAAAATGAAAAATAAGTATAAAAAGAACTGAGATACTGGAGTTCAGGTGAAGGGTAAAGGAGTCTAGAGAGATACAAGAAGCAAGTGAATATAGTACATGCCATACCTATTTTGTTATCTGTATTTTTAAATATATTCTTTGCTTAGCTCAGAATCTCACTTATGTAGATAATTGAAATATGTTTTATTTTATTTTTGATTTACAGTTTGTTTGTGATCCAAATATAATCAATAAAGTTCAAACAAACCTAGAAAAATTTAAGTATGATGTTATACATGCGGAAGAGGAACACTTGGCCATTCAAAAGGTGTCATTAAATGAATTAGAATATGAACATATAACTAAATTTATCAACCAAGTAGAAGCTTTACAAGATGTTATTCATGTTTATGATAATTTAAATTAGTATCAAATTATTTTATACAATTTTGTTAATAAATATAAATTATTTAAGTGGCAGTTTATTAGCTTTTATCTTCTTATACTATATAATTTGTTTGTGTACTATTTTATAGGTAGCATATTCAACCTTATTTCTTCTCTTGACCTTAAGTACCTATATACTTATTTATTACATATTAATTTCTAAGCATAATCTGTTTTAATATTTTTTATAATAATAATTATTATATTATTATGTAGCAATTATTGCTATATTGAATTCAGAAAATTTAATATACAGACAGTTACATTTATATAACTGTGTGTGCATGTGTGTATGTGTGAATTTGTATTGATTTGTTTTAAATCTGAATGCTTTCTCTGACTATACAACTATGTAGAGGATAAGTATATAATATGCTTTAAAATATAATCATATTTCTATCTGTTTAGTGTAAAGAAACAACTGCAAATGATAGTCCAACAATATAAAATAAGTTGGTATGTATTTATGTTAATGTAATACATTTTAACTTTCAAAATTAATATGATTTGCCAAATTGATGTCATCATTATAGACATCTCTAGAATTAAGTAGGTATGTATGTAATATATGTATCTCTACTATGAGAAGTTTGTTTGGGTCATTTGTTTTATTTATATCATAAATTGATTTAATGCTTCATGCAAAATTTAGATAGAAATCTAGGAGGCATATAATTTTTCATCATATATTGTTTAATCCTATTAATAAGTAAATTAAATTTTATTATATTATTGTATTGCATTTACCCTTATTAATTATAATCGAAAAATGATTCGGGTATTTTTTTAAACTAAAAACAATGTTTCAATATTATTATACAATATTAGTTTTTAGTATTTACTTATTTTTAAAAGAAATACTTTCGGACTTTGATTGTTACATACCTAGGTAATCTTTCATCCTACGGCAGGTACTATTTTTATTGCAGCCAATCTTGTAATGTCAGCACTGATACATTTGAGAGTTCGTCAAAAACATTTAAGTAATTACTTTATTCAGCTGTTTCCCTTAACGTCAACTTTTTTCCAATTGATAATTTAAATATATCTATAGACGTATTTACGGGAAGGACCAAGTGGGCACTATCCCCAGTGTCGTATTTAGACATTTTGGGCTCCGGCGCGAAAAAAAAAAATACTGGCGACCCTCTAAGGGGCCTACCCACGGAAAATATTGGAGATTGATCCTCATAAATCTTTTAAAAATTCTAAAATCAATGCTATTTTTGTGTAGTAGACACGCCATCATACGCCGCACGTGATAACAACAAATTTAAGAACTAATGTTAGGTATATTAATAATATTCTAGATCGCTGATAGCTATATTGCTATAAATAAATTAATAATATATATTAATAAATTAAATACATTAACATTAATTTACAATACTGTTATTAAAAATAAAAAAAATAATAATTTTAAAAGTTCAATAATTCACAAGTAAGCAAATTTCCGATCACAAAATTTTGGCGCCCCCAAAAAACTGGTGCCTGGGGCAGTTGTAACCAGTGCCCCCCCTAAATGCGGCCCTAAATATCCTCCCTCTGGCGGACTGTGTTTCCAACAAAATCTTGCCCAGATAAAAATAAAGTTGTACGGCACATACTCAGTATCGACCATAGACGCAATTTGGGGGGCTTGGGTATGCTTAGCACCTCCAATTTCGAAATTAGCACCCCAAATGTGTTTATGTTAATTTACATTTAAATACTCATTACTCATTATATATAGAAAAACATAATAGTTTTTGAGTTTTTTTGTTTAAATATATAAATTTTTAAACACTATAAAAATATTTCGCAATACGAAAAAAAAATATCTTTGCTATAGGGTAAAAGTTTCAAGTTTTTAACCATATTACTTTTGGAATTATGACTAAATAACTAAAATTTGAAATGTGAAAGTCATTTACAGCATATTTTTATCATTTCAGGATAGTTTTTTCCTCACGTCTAGAAAAAACTATTATGATTTAAAAAATGACTTATCTATAGTACCACCGCATGCCAATTTAAAATTTAAAAAAGTCCTAGAAAAAACTTTTGGACCAGTTTCTATCCGAATAAGTGTTAAAAAATAAAATACAAACATCATTATAAAACCATAATATCTTCCGCTTCAGTCAAAATCTATTAGTGATCATGTGATAAAACACTTGTGTATATAGACAGGTAATTCGTTGTACACGCAATAAAAATATAAAATTAAAGTGAACAATTTAAATCTATAAATATTCATATATTTACCAAATATTTTAGTAACTGTTGAATTGTATGGTTTGCGGATGTATATAACCATTTAGAAACATGAAAAAGATAGAAGGGCTTCAGCACCCTCAGTTTTTTCTTTAAAATAGCGCCCCTGGTATCCACAGTACCAGTAGTATTATGTATGTATTTTTATGTTAGTTGTAAATTAATTTATATTGTTTTAACACGCCATTGGTTATACATTTTGGTCTTAATTTTTAACATATAAAATAAATGTGTGTCACGATATAAACATTTCTTAAGCCCTCTCAATAACAAAATTTGAATGCGCCTATGACTACATCCCTATATAAAATAAAACGACACAGAACTTATTTATAGTCTTAAGATAAGCGTCCTAAGATTCGCATCGAACGGATCGATTTGTGATAGTGCGTCCACCGTTCCGCCCCAATTCGGGTTTCCTAGGCCACTGCCATTTACAATCAGATTTTTTACAGTAAAATTATTATTTAATTTCGCATTTCCGTATGACTTCATTCGTATACGATGGTATACCAGTGAGAAAAGTTGCACCTACAAGGAATTTTGTCAGTATTATTACCGAGCCTATTCGTGCGGTCCGTCTGTTGCGGGTCAGTGGACGCACCTATACTTACTATACAAAGAATTCTAAAATTCGTTTAATGCGATCCGTCCGATGTATTGAAAGCGAATATTTAAATGGTAGGATGTGTTTTCCTGATGTTAATTTTATAGAAAGGATTGATGATGACTAAAGAAATCAAACCGATGAAAATTACCATGTCGGACAAACTATTCTTACTAGAATTCCCGTTTTAAATTAAGTAACTGCGTCTCCCCTTAGTTATAGGCAACTTGTCTTTCTAGGAGTTGTGAAAAAATTGTTGGTGAGAACCTGGATTTTTGGAAAACCTCCACATAAATTACCATCACAAATTATTAATGAAATATCTTCCCAATTAACATCACAAATACCATGCACATTTTTTAGAAAGATCAGATCATTAAAGGAGGCAAAACGCTTCAAAACTACGAGTTACGATTATTCATTTTATACTTAGGACCATACTTGTTAAATAATTAAATATTAGTATTTAAATACTTTTTCAGTATTTTAAATACATTTTTAAAACTTTTGGATGCTTGTAAATACTTTTGTATTTCAAATATTTATTATTATATATATATAAAAAAATGTATTTATAAGTATTTGAAATATTTTTTGAATATATTAGTATTTAAATACCTATTTGAAATATTTTTGAAAAGTATTTTTAACAACATTGCTAAGGACCAGAGCTTGGGAGTTAAAGCATTTGCTTATTTTTATAGATTGACTTAAAATGTAACAGAGTATTATAGAAGTGTATGTCAAGTTATAACAGGTACAATTATGAAATTTGAAAGTGCCTTTTTTCCTTTTTTTCAGCAATTTTTTGAAAAAATGCTTATTTCCAATTTTTCTGATTATTTTTGCTTATTTAACCAGTTTCTTTTTACATTTTTATAGTTTTCTCCTACAAGTCGTTTTTGATAGAGTTAAAATTAATAGTAATTCTTATCTTATCTACGTTGTCACGTAGTTTATCGCCGTCCATGGCATCGTTGTAGGGTTAACAAAGATATTTCAACGCTGAAAATAGAACTGAGTGTCAATCGTCAGAATGATCAAGAACAGAGAGAACTGTTTACACTTTATTTTTCAGAAAAATCCCTTAGGAAATCCATAAAATCCTTAAAGTCTTGAAAGTGTAGATTTATTTTTATTTTGTTTGATTTTTTTAGTTAGAATATTATAGTTTTTTTTTTTTTTTTGAATAAATATTTTTGCTTAATTTTAAATTTTTAAATACTTATTTTAATTCTTATAATGATGTTTTTAAGCGCTTATTTTAATGATTTTAAGTGCTATAAGTCCCGAGCCCTTAGGACCAATAGTTTTTAAAGATGTAGTTAAATATGACCACTTAAA